CACATACTCTGCAACATGATGGCAGTACAAACGAATAACGAGGAAAAATTGAATGGCGTTGAAGATTCTACAAAGTAACTCAACGTTTCAACTCCTTTCTCATTCTTCACCAACACATATACACAACTATTAGGAATTTTTGTTTAATTGCACCTACTCCTTCTCCTGAATTTCATTTTAGTACATTTCTACCATTTTCAGATTGTTTCCATAACTTTGATTGGACCAAATGTGACCACTAGACATAAACCATAACCGCTTTTAAATAATTAAAACTTCATGTGAGCCGTATGCTCCTTTTCGCTTAAATTATACAGAGGAACCATATTTCATATGCATAAGGGATTAAGTTTCTAAATTAATTAATTAATTAATTAATTAACGTAAATATGGTGGAGCCACCAACTATGATAGGTGAGTTGGCCACGTGAAGAGAGAAAGTGTGCATACATTTTAATCACGTGATGGGGTGCGGGTCTTCCGGAGAAATCGACACGTGTCCGTTCAATTAAGACGTGCAGGAACCCGATATGCTTTTCTGTTCCATTTCGGTTGCCTTAACTTGAGCCATAACTCATACACAGCTAATTACAACTTATTTATTAATTAAATATTCATTTAACTTCTGATTCCCAAACACACCCAACATAAGTTAAAATTAAAAAAAAAAAAGCTTTAGAAGTGTTCTTCGACGACTCTGTAATTAGATTATTAGCAAGAATGTCTCTATTAGGATCATGAGTGGAGGGGATGAGTTCGTAATAATTAAATCACCTTAATTAAAATGGATTTGTTAACTGATCCCTAAACTGATTCCTTAACAGAGGAATGTCACCACCTTCTCAGCCAGCACATGCCATAAATATTAAATTATTTTTTTCACCAAAATTAACCGAATCTTTATATCTGCTTAAAATTTTCATAATTATTTCATTGCTTATGTTAATGTGTTGTGAGACAATCTGTTTTTTTTAATAATCATACTAATCTATTCTGTGTATATAATTATCTTTTTTTAGTATACATTTTTCGGTGTTGATCTATCTTCAGTGTTACTTAAATATGAAAAACATAACTAATGATTGAGATCATCTTTATAGGCAATATTGTAGAAAAAGTAAATGAATTAGTACTTGAAAAAGTGCATTGCACTACAGAATTAGAGTGTCACGTTCTTGGTTGTATATTTTATTTCTGCTTTCCGATTTTTGAAGTACGACTGTGCAATTCATTCTCTAATAAATATATATTTATATAATGGTAGAGCATAGTCAGATGGTACTTTTGTTATTCTGTATGAAAAAAAGCTGTGGTCACTGAATAGGGCTCGATCCATCTTTTACATTTTGCTTTCATTTCATCAGTTTAATAAAATATCAGTGAAACAATTATTGTAACCAAACAGAGTCCGATGCCGATAAGGAGCTTTAAGCAATATTTTTATGATATTAATTTTATTTTATGTTGAGGAAGCACTGAGTTGCGACTCCGTGCATGAACCTTGTACGCTGTCTTCACGCATCAGAATCTTTTTCTATTTTAATCTTGTTTTTTAAACAACACTCCGTTTCTTCATATTACACGTAAAAAATAAAATTAAGCAAAAGGAAGATTACACATTAATGACTTGTATACACCGAAATTAGATAAATAGATGGATTATTAACCCTAAAATAATATTATTTTAAGGAAATAGAAAATGAAAATGAAGAAAATATGTGAGGGCAGTGGAATGCGTGAGGGATAAAGTGGGGGACCCCATTACATAAGTGGGCCCACGGAGAGACAGTAGAGTTGCTGTGTGTGTGATCTTCTGCACTGCACATATCATATGATTTATGGGAGGTCATACAAGTTGAGTATGCAGTGTTGTGTTGTGTTTCGCATACTCCTTTTGTTTTTATGCACGTGACTTTCGATCACCTCACGTGGCCTCCATCCCCTTCCATCGCTAACCCCACCCACCTAACCATATCACCGCTCATCACTTTTTCACCCTACATTCTCTCTCATCTTTCTCATTCCTCTCACTCCAGCTTTTGTAAAGAGTTGAGTCATTGACAAATTCACCTCCAGATATCATTATTCTTGTGAAAATTAGATAAAATTATATACGACAAAAATTATAAAATGAAAACTCATTATAAAATCATTTTTTGGTAAGAAGTTGTTTAACAACGAGTGTTTCTGACTTTTTTTTCAGGTTAATTACCAATTCCTTTGATGTCATTATGTTTGTGAAAATTAGATAAAATTAGATAAGACAAAAATTATAAAATAAAAACTCATTATAAAATCATTTTTAGTGAGAAATTGTTTAAGAGTGACTATTTCTGATTTTTTCCAAGTCAATTACCAATTCCTTCATGCTTGTGAAAATTGGATAAAATTAGATAATACAAAAATTATAAAATGAAAACTTATTATAAAATCATTATAAGATTGTTTAACGACAACTGTTTTAATTTTTTTCAATTGGGGCTACAATGGGGATGACAGGACAGTCGAAGTGAGAGTTTGGGTTTTTTTTAGTTTTGAGAATGAAAATTATTAAAATACTGTTAACCTTAAAACTTAGGATCCATTATATATAAGGGTATTTTTGTCTACTAAAACCCGATACACATTCCTAAAATGTACCAACTGAAACGCGCGTTAGCAAACCCATATATATATATATATATATATATATATATATTTCAACTAAATTAGAAAGATGATGCATAATGTAATTAAAATGATGATATTAGAACACAATATATAATCGATGGTAGCATAACCAATTTAATTTAAAATGTAATGAAAATTTTATATATACTATTTTAAATCAGTTATAAAAAGAAATATTCAGTAATACTAATGAAACTTGAATTAAAGAATTACCGTGCCTTAAATCAAAACTTTAAAATTAATGAATTTATGAATTTTTTTCTTATATGTTACTTAATGTTTTCTTTTTAATTCAATGTAAGATTATTTAAATTTAGATTTTAAAATATTAAAGTACTTTTTAAAGATGAAATTATGATAAAGTGAACAATATTTTAAATATGATAATTTACTCTGATACTGATATACCAATATATTTGAAGTTGGTAAATTAAATCTGAATAACATAATGAAAAAATGGTTTAAAAAAAAACCTCTGATCTGTTAGTCCTCATATTGTTTCCTTAATATTATAAATAATTTTTTTAAAAGAACAGTATTTAACCTTATCGATCTATATGAACAGATTTGAGAATATCATATAACGTTCATAATTTGAGAATAACTAAAAATTTGGTAATGCATGTTCACTGACCTGTTTGCGGACCAGAATATACATTTTAAACTTGAAACTCTTTATAAAGCAGGGCAACTAATAGGAATAAAAGTTTGAGGTGTGTAATGAGATAGCGTGGAGTATTATATATTTGACGGGAAAAAGCATTGGCATGTGTCCGAAAATTGAGTGTGTTTGTACTTTGTAGGAATGGATTAATTAGTATAGTCCGAAGCAAAGATAAGTTGTGTGTGTATTTATATATCCGAAAAGAGAAAGAAGAAAGATAAAGATGCATGGATATCGTAACTCCAAGCTGTACCATTGTATCTTTGCATCACACTGTAAATGCTCGCCATGATTGTCGGAGGGCTAAAGAATCCTTTCACTAATCAATTCATATTCCTTTCTTTCTTTAATTAAAAGCCATTTAAACAAACAATTATTGTAAAACACTATTAAACAAAACAAACACAAACACAAAGAAGCCAGGGGGAAGCTGCACCCCACGACAAACCTTCAAAATTCACATGTCTCTGCATAATCAATTCTCTAACGTCACAACTTTCTAAATTTTCTGTTTATCGCAAATTATATCTAAATACTTCAAACAACTCTTTCTTTTAAATAATCATAAAGCGTTCGTAGGCAGATGATAAAGTTGCTAGTTAATTGCCATGATTCGGTGTCAGTTCCCGCTTTTAATTAATTATTTTACTTCTTAATGCGCTTAAGTAAAATATATTTTTTTAAATGATGTATATTTTGAGAAATTAAAAAAATATTATATTATATTTGATGTGAATGTAGATAGATATGTGTGGTGGTATGAGAGAGAGAATGTTGAGGGGCATGCACATGGAGGCATAGGAGAAGGCATGATATGATGGAATGGAGAGAAGGGTAGATTTAAAAGTAAAAGAAAAAATAAAAAATAAAAAAGAAAAGAAAAATGGGGTTTTTTTTTGTTTTTGTTAAAAGATCCATGATAGAGCAGGGGATATGAAGAGTGGGGAGGTGAGGTGAGGTGGTGCGTGCGGCACGTGACATTTCCTCCCTCACCACCAACATCTTCTGTTCCTTTTCTCTGTCTTCATTCTTTTCTTTTTCATCTTTTATGGATAAAAAACGAAACAGAGGAAATGTAAATCCATTTCCAGTTTCTTAAAAAAATGGAGGGGTTTAATTAGTAACTCCGGCTAGGGATCTGTGCACTAATCATCACCACAGGCCTCTATTTAACACTTTCTTAATTTCATTTAACCACGTCAACCACCTCCTGTTCCCGTGTCAACGCTCCCGTTACCCGTTACGTTACCCTCCTCTCTCACGTGACCTTAACCATTCCTCAACGCCTACACTCAAAACTCATAAACCTTTGTCGTTTTGGTATTTAATCACCTGTTACAAAAACATTTGAAACTGGAAACCTATCTTTTTTATTGTAGTAATAAATCCAAACATTCCTGAGTGTGGTGGGAGGGATTATCCGGTTTAAGATGGAAAAGGTTTAGTGGTTTTAATTAAGTTTAAGAAGGGAATTATAGAGAGGAGTGAACTAAAGAAGAAGTAATGTATTTATGACGGTGTGAGGGTTATGAAAGGAAGGTAGGTGTTTATTGTTGTGTTACACGTGTGAGTTGATGCGCTGTGATTAACGGAGTGGTAGTGTGTAATGCTTACGTATTGGGTAGATGTCTATGTAAGTATTTCTCTCCCTTTTTCTTTCTCCAACCCAAACGCACACATTCCACGATACATACATACCCTTCCCTCTCTATCATCTCTTCTCTTCCCTCTCCACCCACACTGCATGTACCTGTTTCTCTTTCTCTTCATCTACTCCTTCCCTTCGCTTTCTCCTTTCGTTGCTCTTCTCACCTCCTCCACTCTTCTCCACCATTTCAGATCCGCTCACGTCCGACCACCACCGCCGTCGATCTAGATCTCCGTCCTCCAACCGCTGCCGATTTTTCAAGATTTCCTCGCCGCTACCACCGTCATGACTGCCAACGGAGGTTTCGCCATAAATTACTTGTTTCTATCTTTTTAATTACTTAATTCATTGCTCGAACTGTTCTGGAATTTAGTTTCGTATTTTTTTCCTTTCATTTCCAGTTTTGATCTCTATAGTCCCTAGTTTCATCAGAATTTTGTGCCGGTTGAGTGAGATATTGAAACTCAATTTTGTTTTTAAGGAGGAACGGGAGTCTGTTGCGTTCTGCTCCTGTGTGAGAACGGTTTGTAATAAGATTAGAGTGCTGAGAAGTTGCGAGAAACGAATGAATTAGGTTTGTGTTCCGTTGACTTGCATCGATCTTATTGGCGTTTTTTACCTGTGGACATACAGGGAGTTGTCTGAAGACTCATGATTTCCTGCAGCCACTGGAGCGGCTAGAGACGAAGGGGAGTGCGAAGGAAGAAGCCACGGATGAAATATCATGGGTTGTTGAGAAGGCAGGACCTTCGGTTGAGCACCTCTTACCTGGAGGAATTGGGACTTACAGCATTAACCACATTTCATATGTTAATAATAACAATAACAATAATAATCAAAGGCTTCCCAAAGCGGAGACGTCTCTTTTTGCGCGTCAGGCAACTAGTACGGACAGGAACGATGAGAACTCCAACTGCAGTTCGTATACTACTTCGAGCGGTTTCACTTTGTGGGAAGACTCATCGGGGAAGAGGGGCAAAACGGAAAGGAGAATAATTCGGGCGACAGACCATCTACTGGAGGTAAACCATAAATTTTCTCTCTCCTTCTTTTTTTCTTTTTTTTCTCTCTCTCTATCTAGGAAAAACTTCATCCAATTGATTGTAATTTATAAAATAAATAAATAAATGACATTTGTAAGTTCTTTTTAATTTATTATTATTGATTATTAATATTTTTTGGTTTGTTAATGTAAAAATACTTTTCATCTTATCTCAATAAATTTCCTAGATAAAGTTCGTATCATGGTAATTTATTGAATAAATGTTTATTAAATATTTTGTCCCACCAATTTCCTACATTTTTCATGGAGTTTCCTAAACCTTTATAGACCTAAATCAAAACAAGGTCAAGCAATCACAATTATTTTCCTATTTCCGCAATACGAAATCGAATTTATATTTCTTATAATTTTATATTTCATAAAAAAGACTAAATTATGTTTTTTTTTCTGAGAAATTACTGAATTTTATTTTTTATTTTTTATTTTTAAATTTTTTGTTCCAACATTTTTTAATTTTATTTTAGTGTCGAAACCCTGATCTAAATTATTTTATGTCATCAATTGAAACATTATCTAAACAAATATTAAAGGGAAAAAATATTTGAAATAAGTTAGTTACAAAATTTTGTTAAAACCAAAAAAAAAAATCGCAATTTTACATAAATAAATAGTTAATATTTAATTAATTTCAAATTGACAAGCTTGTTGTGTATTTTCTTTTTGAAAAATAATACGGTATCCTTAAAGTTTGTTGAAATACTATACTCTACCCACTTGCTGAAAATTCCAGTGTTAAACATAGTTTACTTGTTAAAATCTATCATTCCATAGTAAATCAGAACCCTCATTTTACAATAATTTGAAAGTGATTTTCATGATTGTTAACTCAAGTCACTTTTTGCTTTAAATAATTACTTTTGCTTTAATTTTTTTTATTCATTCCAAATATCATTTCTGATTTTAATTTCATTTTATTTTAAAAGTTGACACATTGTATCGAGTTATGTATAATTTTTCCTTTGTGGATAAATACACTTTTAATTTAATGAATCTTAAGTTGGATTTTGTTAAGTTTTAAATCTGGTGATATTCTCAGTAAATAAATTGACGACCGTTGATTTTAGTAATTTCCGTTTTAATTAAATGACCTGGTCCAAGACATTTTTAATTTTATTATTGAGAGAGAAAATATTTATCTGATAAATTTCCTGAAATTATGTCCTATTTTAAGTTTTATAGGACTATTTTACTGTTAAATTATTAGAACCATTTTGAGTATTTTACGAGCTTTTAAATTGTATTATATTCTCATTTTATTAAGATCTAAATCAATCCAGCCTTACATATTTAAGGAATAAATTGGTTATTTATCTTTTTATTTATTTTAAACATGTTACATTCCTGATTTCATTCTATTTAATATAATGAAATATGCAACTGTTATTAATAACACTAAAAAACACACACACACACACACACATATATATATATATATATATATATATATATATATTAAATATATTAAATTGATTAATTTATATTTTTGAATTTTTATTAAATTTGTAACTATCAATGTTTTTTTTTGTTTTTTTTTTTGTTTGTATATAATTCAAACAAATTCGTGAAATACAATCCACATTTTCTATTATTTTTGGAAATGATCAAAATCGTGTTGTATTTTTTGTGTATTATAACGTCATTGTTGTAAGATATCTTTATTTTACTTGTAACGTATTCGATGATTCATTTAATTATTCTCCACAAATAATATAATAAAGGTGTTCTTCATGTTGTAAATTTGTTCCATTATTTCATAAAAATTCAGTCACCGGCAGAAGAAATAATCTGATTATGTCAACTAGTATAATTGTCAATTTTGGTTGTTCGTTCATGTGAATTTCTTACCTTTCTGTTCACAGCGGAAAAGAAAATAATCTTAATATAGTTGCTGGGAAATTTAACCCAGTAGATGGAAAAAGTCATATATCTTCAATATGAAATTATGTTCGTAGTATTTAAAAGATTTTATGAAAAACATTTGTTCAAATATTTTTTATAGGAATATCAAGGTGAAAAATAATTCAACTTATAAATAATGTGTCCGTTGATTCATTTAACAATTTTTTTAGGTTTAATAACATGATCTAACATGCTGATTCATTAAGATCTACATGTAATGTCATAGATAGACCGAAGCAGCGTTGTGGGCTAGTTAGCCAGACCAAATTCAGTGTTTGTCTATCGGTATTCGGCAATAAGAAAAACAGTAGAAATAATGATAGAGTCAAATATGAATTGCAGTATATACATATATTTAGTTTGTCTATAATTGGTATGTCTAACGGTTTTAATATATGACAGAGTGTGCGGCGACAAAGCTAGGGCAGTGGACATCAACGGAGCGGACCTCACAGTCGTTTTGTACCAATCGTCACGACAGCTTCAGCTCTCGCTCTTCATCTCAGTCAGTCTCTCTCTCTGCCACCTCTTCCATATTTATACTCCTTTTTTTGTCTTCTTAATTTTATTAATGTTTATGTTGTATTTGTGGAATTGATGAACAGGACAACTGGGCAGAAGAACCAGAGTTTTATGGAAATGATGAAGTCCGCAAGGGATAGTGCCCAGGATGAAGTGCTGGAGAATGAAGAAACATTTTTTCTCAAGAAAGAACCTTCCAATAACCAAAGAGGTAACTTTTAACATTCCATTCTTGAGAAAGGTGCACCATAACCATTGACCGTACATATTTCATGCAATATGCTCAGGTTGCTAAATAATTTTCATGTTAAATTTGTCCTTTTAGCTGTAAAGTTGTAACTAGATATTGGGTTTTCCACACAAATGGGGCATTTTTGTTTTAAATTTCAGGAATTAATAAATTTTAAATGTATTACTATGAATGGATAAGTAGCTAATCGAACAGTTTTTATTATTCTCTAATTTTAAAAACGTATTATTTATTCATCATTTTTATAATATTTTTTAATAGTATCTTTTTTAATATATATATATATATATATATATATATATATATATATA